TTTATCCTTCTCACCATAACTATTTTAATGAAGACCGAGAGATAAGTCCACAATTAAAAGTGAGTGATTTATATACCCTGGTAAGAGGTTTTTGCAAATACTATAATTCTTTTTATTATCATTAACATTTAATTAGTACTTGCTATATGCTAAACACTATAATCAGCACTTTAAGTATGATATATTAATCTTCATAAAATCGCTGTGACATAATTACTATAATTATTCTTATTTTATGGATCAGGAAAACTGAGGCTTTCCAAACCTAGGAAAGGTTAGAAACTTTACACAATGATTGTAACAATTCCCTTGTCTCATTATTTGTTGGTTTAAACCTTTGCTTCAGTCATGCTTCCCCTGGTATGAGTTCTGTCATCCACTACATCCTGCTGCTGCATCGGTGCGGTTGTGACTTCACTTAACTAATCCAAACACTCTGCTTCTTCCCTTGACACTCTTCAGATTCTTCTTCAGATGTTCTCATTTTTTCCTTTCTTTATAAACCTTTAGGCAACTCCTACCCACAACAATAAAAATATTATTATTCCAGTAGTAATAATAAAAATTAAAATCTAACAACAAAAACAGCAACATTTAATGAACTCATACTGTGTGGCAGGCACTGTTGTTCTAGGCACTCACTTGTACTAGTTAATTTATCTTCACAATCACTTTACCAGCTTGGTACTTTCATTCCCCCACTTTAGATATAAGTAAAGTGAAGCACCTATGAGAATTAGGTGATTTTTCAACAAATTAACAGATAAACATATCCTCTGAGCCTTATATTCCTCATGACAACAAGTCCTGGGCTAAGAATATAGGGTGTGCTCAATCCGAGAGCCACAAAAGTGGCTTTTTTGGGACACAATAAGGCTTTTCATTTTCTTTGAATAAAATATGAAAATATTTTAAGTATGTTTATGTATCTGACTTTTAAAATTGTGGATATGATTTTATTTTTTAGTAGACATTTACAAATTACTAGAAAAGATATAAAGGAAAGGCTGTTTTGATTACTGGGAAACTAACCTGTTCTGAAAAATATGTATGAATGTTTACTGCTGCATGTTTAAGAAATATAAGGATTTTAGGGCCAGCTGAGTGGCTCAGTTGGTTAAGAGCTCGCTCAAGAGTTTGAGCTCTCAGCAACAGCTGTTCAATGCCCGGCCCGAGCTGAACTGCCAACAGGTGGCAGGATGGCTCAGCTAAAAAAAAAAAAAAAGAAAAAGATTTTAGATTTCTAGTTTACCTTACAATTAATTGGGCTTGTTTGGCCCATAATGCTTTTGGAAGCCTGAATTTTTCTTGGTCATTATTACTTGATTAGAACAATTACATTTCCTGATTCTTAAATAGTGAATTGAATTCAACCTTTAAATTTTTTAGAATATCCTATCATCACTCTTATTTGATGTTTTCAAATAATCGTAGTTCGGTCCTGAAAATGATAGAAGGTTATCTTTTCTGCAAAAGAGATAAGGCTTAAAATTTCCCTGTTCCATCCAGCCTGTATTTTAACATATCAGGACTCACATATGCTACACACACAGACACACACATACACCAACCTCTATACATCTAGCTCCCTGCAATTCCTACTCTTCTTTCAAGCATCCTAACAGTTTGTGTTACCTTTTTCATTATATCTTCTCAGACATTCTCCTCCCCTAGTAATATTTTGGTCCTATCTCGGTGAGGGTTCTATGCTGAAGGTTGTACTGTGATTATTCGATTGTGTGTCTTCCTGCTATATTTGAGCTCCTTTAGAGCTGAGACCTGTTGCACTCATCTTTAAATCACAGAGCTACCCTGTGCACATTTCATAATACAGTATATACTTGATGAATGTTTGTAGGCCTGATCTACTATAGCCGTTGAGAAGACCTAAGGTCACGGATAAAGTTAGAAAATAATGTAGGATTTGTATGAACCATAGTGAAAAATTCCCCCCAGAATATAGGCATGTAGATTTTGGAAACAGTATTAGTGTAAAAAATAAAATAATTTATCTTTTATATTTACTAGCAAGATATTAATGATGAAAAGACTTTCATTCACCGTAAATCTGAGTTAAAGAAGCCATCAAAGGATTCTGAATTCAGCTCTTTGAAAACCCAAGATAAGAGCTGTAAAGAAGATCCAAAGTGGTTCACCCCAAAGCTAAAGGATCTGAAGAAAGAAAATGAGGTAGGAGTAGGAAGATAGGTTTTTGAACATGTAATTCATAATATGATTAAGCCATCAGTGAAGGGGGCTGGAATAAAAGAGCTCTTTAAACGCTGCTACTTTCAGTGCTGTCAGAACATTTCCCACAGATGAATTACAAATTCTCTCTTCCAACAGTCACCAAGACCAAAGTGGAAGCAACATAGCCTCGCTCACAAGAAAGGGTATTGTCTGGTTTTGATGTGTTAGTTACTGTCCCATAGCTTTGGACAGTCTTCAAGAATTGTCCAGTGATTAGAAACTACTATTGAGAATCAAAATTAGGAGAACCCATAAGGAAAATGTTGACAGCTTTTTTGGAGAACATAGATATTTTGTTTTTATTTTAATCAAATGTTTATGTACACGTAACTTAGAGTCCCCCATAATCCCTTTCTCTGCATTTCTTATTTCACAGAGCAACCATTTTCATCTCTTATCTGCTGCTTTTGGAATTCACCTCTATTTCTTCCATTACATAACGTGCTTATATTGTTATTTCCTGACTTTTCAGCTTTAAGTATGTATGCATGTACTTCCCACTGTGAAAGATGATGGTTTAGTTCTCTTTCATCCCTTCATCCCACCGCATACAAATACATTTTTTTTGTAACCCACCTCCCCCCCTTCCCGCCATCTCACTAGAATAGTTACATCAAACTTTTAGATCACCATTCTAAATTATGACTCCTAAGTGCTATTCATAGCCAAGTAGTATGTTATGGCAACTTTTCCTCTCCTATATGACTTTTTTTCCAGTGTTAATAGTGTTTTTAAATCAACACAATAAAAATGACTTTTTTTTTTTGGTGTATCCTATATTGTTTTGTGCTCCACCCTCAATTTTATTCTTGAGAAGACCCTCTGGTCTTCCAGGAGGAAGACGTGTAGTTTCCTGAGTCCTTGAGATGGGGACGGGTGTCTGGTGATCCAACTGCTTCTTACTCAGACTTTCAGTCATTGCTTTTGTTTTCATTCCCACTTTACTCCCTCGCCTCCAAAAATCTTGTGTACCAATTTCTGCGCCTTTATGGTGTCTGTGGTGTAAATTTGGGTTGTGTCGCAGTTTTTCCCACTGCAAGTTTTTCCCACTTTCTGAGGACTGCTTAATCAGTTGTCACTTACCTGCTTTCCTGGATCCAGAATGTAGATGGTGTTTTCTCCTCTTCTGCTCTCCTTGACGAGTTCATACCTTAAATCTATTTTATTTTGGTGATATTTCAGGAAGGAGGGAGTAATAAATTGTGTGTTCAAACTGCCGTCTCTACCTGGAGTCAGGAAAAAAATTGTAAACCTAAATTTTAAAATGTGCTCATAAAGGAACTATAAATTAAAGCTTTTCTTGGTCTTCTGATACATTCTAGGGTGAGATCCCCACTGGAATGCCATGCCTGGAGTCAGTGACCATAGGCGGTGATGTTTGGGATGAGAACTGGTTACCTTTGCAAGCTAAAATGGCGAGAGGAGGTGATGCTGCCTCCCATGTATCGACCTCCAGCCCTGGGGGAAGGAAGCCATACCTGTCGTGTAAAGGAATGCCAGAGGAGGTTAGATCCTTGGGAAAACAGAAAGCAAATCACTATTGAAAAAAGGAAATGCAAACTCTTGTCCACACCTCAAGAAAGCTATACATTTTGGAATTCACAGTGATTTATCAGAAGATAATTCAAAAGGATGCATTTTTTTCTTCCAAAGATAGTTGTGGTACGGAGGGGGATAGACTGGAGCAAGGAAGAATAATAAACCATGGACTTACTGTGCCTATCTACCCTTTCAATCATTATGGTTCTTGTTTGATCATTGGCACCTAATCAGGGCCTTAGGATCTATAAATAAATCATTTTCCCTAATTTTATTTTGGTTGCATTAGTTTGGTAATATAACCTCTGGATCTCTGCAGTGGGATCATTTGCTAATTAATATTGGTCCTAACTGTATATTAAATTTTAATTTATTTCCTACTGGTTATGAAAAAGAAGAAATACCTGCAGTTACGTTGCATCTTATAACCTATGCCATTTAAATACTAGATGATCATGAAAAGTCATCTAGCCATGAAAACAGTTTTGAAGAAAATACTACAAATAAGTTGTATTTGTTTTTATGAGATCTGTGTACAAGATACTGGGTATGGGCCAGTGGCACAGAGGGAAATGTCACCGATACAGAAAGTTAATACCTTTTCTTGTTTAATATACATTGCCTTCTTGCATTTACCTTGTCCAAGTTATCCTCTGTTTGGATCATGTGGCACTATATCTCAGTTCATTGCAAAATTGTTTTCTGTAGGATTGGTGTTTTTCTACACCCAAAGATATGTGGGATGGTTCATGGCAGCCTTCAGCCCTTGTAGAAGTAGAAAGAATGAAAGTAGAAGTTAAAAAACCAGAAGGACTGGGTGCTCAGGAAGAAAATCCTGGGACAACCAGGATTCAAGAGGTATTTACCTAATAATAATACTCATGTCTAATGAATGCTATTTTCACAGGTTTGCATGTGGAAGTACTTTCCTATATAGAAAGTAAAATTCTGGTTCATGATCTCTCCCATTAGCATTTCAGAGAATACATATACATAAAATGGTTTTAAAATTAATTTTCATGAACTTAATATAATTATTCATCTTTTCAGAAGAAAATCCTGATCCTAGAATTGAAAGGTTGATTACATGTCTATGTTAGGGATAGAGAAACAGGTATTTTTGTATAACTTAGCTATAAATTTTAAGCTGTGTATCTGTCCTGTCATCTAAGACAGTTTTCTTATGTTGCTTTGGCAGAAAGCGCTAACCCTGGAACAAAATACATTTGTTTCTTGTTTTTCAACTATCTTATGAGCTTCCTGAAAACAGCAGGACAATTTGTGTGAATCATGAAATTTGACTACTAGGCTTCTCTACTTTTGTGTGTTAAAATTTGGCATTCCATTCTCTTAGCCCAAATTCAGTCTCTGGGCCATTCATCTTTTCCTCTCAAACCATGGTTCCTTAATACTCCCTTTGTCACATCTGAGGAGCCTTCCCTTAAGGCCTTTGTGCTTTCCTAGCATGTTGTCCACGCTGCAGAATGCAGTTAATGCCCCTCTCCATGGTGAGCTCCATGGGGCTGAGGATTATGTCTTCCTGGGAGGTGGTGTGGCTAAGCACGGAGAACATCCATCTCTGCCGTGTCATTTATTGATGACATTGGTGAACTTACTCCGTCTCTCTGTAAAAAGCATTATACTAATGAAAGAAGCTGTAATACAGAAGACATAACAACACCTAACCTAGAACAGTCATTCTGATGTTTAAATGAAGAAACACATGCAAATAACCAAGCGCTGTGCCTGACTGAGTGCTCAGCGAATGTTGTCCCTCATTTCCTGAGACTCTTCCTTAGCTGTGCGTGGCAACACGTGTACCATGTTTGCTCATAATAGGTGTTCAGTTAATGTCTTTTCAACTGAACTGGTCACTATAGAGAAGGACTTGTTTTTTCTAGAGAGGCTCTTTAAAATTAGTACTTTCTATATGAAATAAAAAAATATGTGTCTTTTGTTTCTAAGTAGGGAAACAAAACAGGCTGAATTCTTCCTGTTGTACTAACAATTACTTTTCATGCTTTTGCCTCATTTTTCCCATTCTGCAGCAGCCAAACTTAAAGTCTCCTTCAGATTCTTCTCCATTGCCCAAACTGGAAGAGTTCAGCATCTCTCTCATTCAGTCACAGCAGTCAGCAGACCGGAGCCAGTTTGAGCCTAAAAACGTTCACACTCAGCTAACGCAAGTTCAGTTCTCCGCAGCAGGACTCAATTCAACTCCTACAGTGGTTGATGCCCTAGAAAAACACTCCGGTTCCGGTAGGTTTACTTATATTTAACAAATACAGTTCACCATGTTGCGAAAAACCTTCATTTACCTTTTTCAGAACATAACTTGAAAAATTGCTGACTTTAGCATTTGTCTCAAATCCTAGGCTCAATGGGTCCCTTTCACTTTCCCACTCTTTTCTTTCCTGCAACTGGGGGTGGGGGAGGAGGGTTTACATACCGTAAAATTTCCCAGTTTTTAAGTGTACAATTCTGTGAGTTTGACAAATATATTCAATCTTGTAATCACCATGCAATCATGTTATAGAATGTTTTCATCAATCTGAAAGTTTCCTCACATCACGTTCCTGTGTAGCCATTCCCTCCCGCTACGTGCTGGCTGGCTCCCGACTGTTACTTTTCCTTTTCTAGAGTTTCATACTAAGGGAGTCATATAGTATGTAGTTTTTATGTGTGAAGGAGAAAGTGACTTCTTTCACTTAGCAAAATGTTTTAGAGATTTGTTTATGATGCTGCCGGTGCCAAAAGGGTGTTTGTATTTATTGCTGAGCGGTACCCAGTTGTAGGGATAGACCCAGTTTGTTTTCCTGTTCACCGGATGACGGACATCTGGGTTGTTTCCAGATTTGGGCCATTATGAATAAAGCCACTGTGAACATTCACATACAGCTCTTTGTGTAGACATAATGTTTTTTATTTCTTTTCAGCATGTACTTAGGAGTGGAATTACTGGGTCATATGGTCACTGCATGTTTAACTCTTTAAGAACTGCCAAAATGTTTTCAAAGTGACTGTACCATTTTGCATTCACACCAGCAATGTGTGATTGCTCCACATCCTTGCCAACGTGTATCGTCAGTTTTTTTTATTTAATGCTGTGCATTTCCCTGTAAGCACTACTTTAGCTGCATCCCATAAATTTTTCCCATGTTGTATTTTTTTTTTTAAGATTTTATTGGGGAATTGGGGGATGGGAACAGCGCTGGGGAATTGGGGGAAGGGGAACAGACAAGTTGCTGTCCTTTTGTTCTTCAGTCTAGTTGTGGAGGATGTTGCTTCACTGGCCCAAGCTGGCACCATCATTGCACTCTTCCAGGGCGAGGCAGATCAGTCGCTGGCCTCTGGACGGCCACTCATGGCGGCTGCTGGCCGCTCACACTGGCTGCTGGCTACACATGGTAGCTTATGGCAGCCCACTGCAGTAGGGGACTGCAGCCTACGCCGTCGCCGGCGACCCACGGCAGCCCAGCTCCAGGTCGAGCTGTTGTTCATCATCTTAGTTGTAGAGGGCAGTGTCACTGGCCCTCATATGTGGGATCCGAACAGGGGCCATCTGGCATCCCAAGCCAGTTCTTAACCAACACGCCACTCAGCCGGCCCCCATGTTGTATTTTTATGTTCATGGATTATATATTCTCACTTACCTTTGTGAGTTTTCTCTTCTAGAAGTTTGTTGTGTAATTTCCAAATATTTGGAGATTTTCCAAATGTCTTTATATTATTGATTTCTAATTTAATTTTGTGATTAGGGGACATACTTTGAATCCTTTAAATTAGGACACTTATTATATAGCCTACCTAGAATATGGTCTGTCTTTGTAGATATTACGTGTATACTTCAGAACACTGTGTAGTCTGATTTAGGTTAAGTATTTTATAAATACCTATTAAGTCAAGTTGATGGATAGTGTTGTTTAAGTCTTCTACAGCCTTGTTAATTTTCTGTCTACGTGCTCAATTAATTATTGAGAGAGAAATTTTGAACTCTGCAATTATAATTGTTGATTTGTCTTTTTAATTTCATCTATATCAAGTTTTGCTTCAAGTACTTTTGACAGTGATTAGGATTATTAGGCCCTATTGATGAATAAGTCCACTTATTATTATTAAATTTTACTCTTTATGCGTGGTAACATTCTTTGCTTTAAAAATCTACTCTGTAGATATTAATACAGCCACCCCAGCTGTTTTTGATTTATATTAGAATGATATATCATTTTTCATCTTTTTATTTTTAGCCTATCTGTATCTTTACATTTAAAACGGAATTCTTGTAGGCATTGTATAGTTTGGTCTTCCTTTTTTTATCCAATTTAATATTTTTAATTGGAGTAGTTAGATAATTTAGTGTGATAATCAAAATGCTTGGGTTTAAATCTACTATTTCCTTGTTTTCTAGCTTGCCCATTTGTTATTCGTTTTCTTCTTTTCTTTCCTTTTTAGTTTTTTATGATTCCATTTTGCTTCTTTTATTGACTTAATAGTTGTAACTCTTTGCTTTGTTTTTGTTCTTTGAATGGTTACTTTAGGATTTATAGTCTATATGTTTAAATTATTAACTTCAAATTATCACATGTATACTGTGAAAACCTTACAATAGCATACTTCCATTTTCCCCATCCCAGCCTTTGAGCTATTGTTGTATATTTTACTTCTTCATATGTTGTAAATCTCAAAATCCATTCTTGTTATTTTTGCTGCAAAGTCAGCTTTCTTTTAAAGAAAGTAAAAATGAGAAAATTATTTTTTGTTAACTTATATGTTTGTCATTTTCAGTGTTCTTTATTTCATTGTGTAAATCCGGAAGCCTGATTTTTACAGCAAAACCTTTTCTGTAAAGAGCTAGAAAGTAAATGTTTTCAGCTTTGCTCTCCATACAGTCTATGTTGCAAGTATCACCTCTGCCATATAGCACCAAAGCAGCCATAGACAGTACACAAATGAATGAGCATAGCTCTTTTCCAATAAAAGTGTACTTTTAAAACAGGTGGTAGGCTGGATTTGACCCACAGGCTGTAGTTTGCCAATGCCTGTTGTCAATCCAGCTTTTCAAAATCTGGTATTATTTTTTTCTTGAAGAACTTCAACATTTCTTGTATTGCTGGTCTGCTCCTGGTGTATTCTCTCAGCTTTTGTACATTAGAAAAAACCGTTATTTTCCCTTTATTTCTTTAAGATTGTTTTTCTGGATGTAAAGTTATAGGTTGACAGATTTTTTTCATTGTATTACAAGATGTCACTCTGTCAGTGTTTCTGACAAGAAATCTGTTGTTTTTATTTTTGTTCCTCTACATAGTAGTTCCTCCTTATTCATGGTTTGGCTTTCCATGATTTCACTTACCTGTGGTCAACCGTGCCTGAAAATATTAAATGGAAAATTCCAGAAATATTTCATAAGTTTTAAATTGCATGCCATTTTGAGTAACATGATGAAATCCTGTGCCATCCCGCTCCATCCCACCTGGGACGTGAATCACCCCTTTGTCCAGCATATCCACGCTTTATACATTCACCACCCATTAGCCACTTAGTAGCCATCTGGGTTATCAGATCAGTTATGTGAGAGACAGAGAGACCACATTCACATAACTCTTATTGCAGTATATTGTAATTGTTCTACTTTATTATTAGTTGTTGTTGTTAATCTCTTACTGCAATTTACAAATTAAACTTTATCATAGGTATCTCTGTATCTATATATCTATCTATATCTACCTATATCATCTCTATATCTAGCTCTATATCTATATCTATCTATCTATCTATCTATATATGTATAGGAAAAAAAACAGTGCATATAGTATTCAGTACTATCTGCGGTTTCGGGCGTCAACTGGGGACCTTGGCACATATCCCCCCTTATGGGGGACCACTGTAATGGGTTATTTTCTCTGGCCGTTTTTAAGATTTTCTTTCATATCACTCACTGGTTTTCAGCAATCAGATTAGAAGGTGCCTTGGTATGGTTCTCATATTTCTTATGTCGGGGGTTAATTGAGCTTCTTGGTGCTGTGAGTTTGTAGTTTCCATTAAATTTAGAAAACTCACCAGTGTCTATTCTAATCAGGCCCTTCCTAGTTTCTACTCTCCCAAGCCCACTGACCCCACCTCCAAGGCTCCAGTGGGTTCCAGCCCTGACGCTGCTTTCATCCTGGCGGCCTTAACTGCAGGGGAGGCAGAACCTCCCAGTGGGGGAAGTGACAAGCTAGCCTCTGGGCTAACTTCCCGTCATTGCTGTGGAAGAGCTTCATCTACCCCTGTGACAGCCTGTCTGCACGGTGCTTCCTGTGCCGCCTGCCCAAGCAGACACCGTGAAGGCAGCAAGCGGCCTGGAAGGAGGAGCTGCCGAGCGCAAGGGCCCGCTAGGACCCTGCCCTAGAGGTGTCTCATGTCGGCTCTGCTCTATGTTAGGAATAAACGTCCAACCCTCAAAAAAAAAATGCAGTCATTATTTCTGTAAATTTTTTTTTTCAGTCACCTTCTCCCAGTTTTACTCCAGTTTCACATTGCACATGCGATGGACCATTTGATGTTCCACAGCTCTCTGACACAGTTTTGTTTCGCGTTCTTTGTTCTCCGTATTTCATTTTGCTTAGTTTCTACTGTTACGTCTAATGTTTTCTTGTTCAGTGTTTAATATGTTCTTTTCTCATCCAGTATGTTTTTTATCTCAGAAACCACATTTTTCATCTCTAGAGGTTTGGTTTGGATTATTTATTTATTTATTATTTTTTAAAATTAGTTCGAGGTGTACAAAACAATGTAATAGACATTTACACCCCTCACAAAGTGATAACCCCCCTCCCCGAATCTACTACCCCTCTGACGTCATATACAGCTGTTACTATTCCATTGACTTTTGTTTCCCTATGCTGTACTCCACATCCTGAGTCCATATACATATTAAATTATAGTTGACATTCAATATTATTCAGCTTCAGCTTCAGGTGTACACTGCAGTGGTCAGGCACCTACACCGTCCATGAAGCGGGTTTGGATCTTTTTTATATCTTCCATTTTTTTCCTCATCATAGTCATATTTTTCGTCTGCCTTCTTGAAAACCTGGACTATTCTTATAACAGATATTTTAATACCCTTGTCTTGTGGTTCTAGCAATGTATCATTTCTGCATTGTGTCATCTGCATTATTTTGAAATCAGCTTTTATTGGCTGATTTTTCTCCTGATAACAGGTCATATTTTTCTGCTTTGAATATCTGGTAATTTTTTTATTGGATGGCAGACACTATGAATTTTAGATTGGTGACTGGGTTTCTTTTCTCCCTCCCTCCATCCTTTCCTCCCTCCCTCCCTCCCTCCTTCCTTCCCTCTCTCCCTCCCTCCCTTTGTATGTTATATCTATCTATGTACTTATTTATTTGTGTGTGGGGGGCGGGGAATGCAGTGAAATTACCTGAAATTGGTCGGATTCTTTCTGTGGTCTTTTTAGGTCTCATTAGGCTGGTCTAGAAGAGTCTTTAGTCTGTTGGTCTGACTATTTAGGCAGTACCTTTCTGAGGGTATTGTTGGGACTTGATGTCCTATGTGTTAGGATATCTTTACACTGTGGCTGGTGGGAACAGGAACTGTTTTGTCCCCGTGTAAGTGATTGTTCTGCCTGCTCCTGTCCTGCAGTTTTTCCCCTGGCCTTGGTGGTTTCCTGACATGCGTGAGTCAGGTCACTAATTCAGCCTCAGACTTAAAGGGACCTCTCTGCAGATCTCCAGCTGCTTCTCTCTCTGCAGCTGCCTCTTCTCTGGTACTTCCCCCACACACCCAAATTCCAGTCTCCCAGCCTCTATCGTCTCCACCCACCAAGACCTCCAGGTGCAGTTTGGATTCCCCTCCTGTGCTGCATGCAGCCTGGAAATTACCTCCTGACAGAGTGAGCTAAGGCACCGATAGGGCTCACTTGGGTTTTTCCCTACTCTCAGGGATCTCTGTCCTGCACGCTTGTTGTTCAGTGTCTGAAAGCTGCTGTTTCATATATTTTATCCAGTTCTCCAGTTGTTTAAAGCAGGAGAGATTGTTTTTCAATCCTTGTTGAATTAACATCATGTCTGGAAGCAGAAGTTTTGCAACTCTTTTAAATTGTTTGATCGTGTATCCCTGCTTTCATATTTTTATATCTTTCAAAATCTGAGCTCACCAAAGGCTTCCTGTAAAACCACATTATTGCATTAGAACCCGCCATCTCTTTTTCTTTTAGTAGGCATTATAGTTGCATGATTAGAGTGTTACTCTTTAGAATACACTGTCAAATCTTCCTTGAACATAATTCATCACAAATGTGTCTTCAAGGTCTAGAGCAGTGCTTTCCAAAATGAAGTCAACAAGACTGACGCCAATCTGTGACGTGTTTACGTTGGCGGACAACACAGTAGCACATTGTTCAGCTCACCTTGATTTTTTTTTTTTCTGAAGCAGGACTTTCTTGAAGGAAGCAGGACGCTGGCAAAAGCTCCTGCCTTGATTGTAGGCAGTAATAAGCACTTCACAGACCACCCACTTTTGGCAGAACTGGTCTAGAGCACACATATGCGCATGTCTAGCATTCCCTTCTTTGGCTGTTCTGATCTCTGGGACATGTGAGTTCCCAGCAATTTATTTCATTTGAAAGGTTCATTCTTCTTAGTTGAAACTAATTCCTAAAGAATTTATTTTATGGCCGATAACTGGCTTTTGGAACTTCATAGTAGCATCCAGTCTTGGTCAGTTTTGTTTTTACACTGTCACAGACTTGGAGTTGGAACCACTTTGGCAATAGAAAACACCCATGGGACACTATTTTGCTCACTGCTGAAGGAAATGGGGGGAGCTTAAGGACTCTTTCCTGAAATTGGCATTATATCCAATTTGTTTTATGATGTTTTAGAAAGAAAGCTTCCCTTCCTTATTCAGAGTGCATGTTTCCCCTTTTTTTTTGCCCCCATCCAGACAAGAATTTATTTTGTCTCAAGGCATGAGTCCCCATCCTCGTTTCCTTTCCATTTGTTGATTGGATTCCAAGCCTCATCCTATCTGATTTGCTCTTGGTAATTGTCACCGCCTAACAGAAAATGATTGTAACACGTTAGGAAAGCTCTAGAGTAGCAGAGAGATGGCAGTGAGTGTGAGAACCCCTTGCAAAGACCTGTGCTTTCTTTCTTTTTCAGTGGAAAGCTCTCCAAAGAGCCTAAAGAATGAAGATTTTTCTAGTAGCCATGCTATTACAGTGTTCAAAGATAAGAGTCATGGAGCCGTGGACCAGCTCTCTTTGATTTTGTCTCCTGAGCACCAGATTTCTCAGACATTCTACATTCCTCGAAGTACAGCCACTGCTGCCTTAGGAGCTGCTGCCCGGTTAGCCACATCCAGGAGCTTCCTACACTGGTACCCCAGTGTGAAAAGGACGGAAGCCTGAGGGAGGAAGGGAGGAACAAATAAACCCATGCTTAGGGCATGGCGATTTCCCAGGCCAACACAAGGGGGAGGTACTGAGACACAGTAGGACTGGGGCAGCTGAAACCTTTGTCTTTCTGTGTGACGTGTGTTACCTTTATTGTGCTAACAGTCCACTTTGTTGTAGAAGGATTAGCATTTATTGTTAATTTTTTATTTTTATTGGTGATGTTTCTTATTCTATATAGTTTTGTTCACCTTTGTTTAATGTAGTAGTGTAATGGAGTTTTTATTTTTTGTTTTTTTATGTTTCTGTAAATGCTTTTCTTGAACATATCATGACTGATAAATGAAAACTGAAAAACTAATGTTTTGTGATCCATATTTAGTAAGACAAAAATTATCTCATATCCCTATCTCCAGAAAAAGCTTGTCTGAATTTTAAGGCTTTTTTTTTCCTATCCATTTGAAATCTTCCTTATTGGAGAGAGAATTCAGGGCTTCAATCCTTACCGTCATTATTTCTTTGAAGTAATAGTATCTGTACGAAAATCCACACCCGAAGCTTTGGTACTAGAAATATTTTTACATTAAAAAAAAATTAAGCTGTTTTTCAGTATAGCCAATTCCTTGGAGAGTAGTAACAATATTATCTAAACTGATTGTTGAAATAGCTGAGCTATCTCTGTGGTCATCACAGTTTGCAGGGACCTTAATGTGGCAGCTCTTCAGTGGCGGTATTGTTTAAGCATTTATATAACGTCATGTTCTCTGAAGTCCAATTGTGTGAAATACTATATGACATTCTATTAAGCTCATAGCATGAACCATCAAGAGAAAAGAAAAGAACGAAAGGTGAAATTAAAGAATGTGAGTGATACTCATTTGTTTGTGGTAAAATAACTAGACTTATTCCCAAAATTTAAAAACCCAATACAGAAGCGTGTCTTAGAAGTAGATTCAGAGAAAGGTGTGAATTCCTTGTTGGCTGCATGTAACTAGGTTCTCACCTTTCTAGCTCCTCTTCTGAGGCCTCCTGTTGTGGCCTCCGACAGCAGAGCTAGCCCCTCATTTCTTTCTCTCTTTCTACAGCAAGGAATCTCTCCCTCTTTTCTCAACTACTTAATCAGCAGAATGCACACTGAGGAAGGGAGTGAGATGAGAGTAAATATAAAAGTGCATTTAAATTTAGTCTTAAGTGGCTAAAACTTCTTTCTTAGAAGTAAATAATCATGAAACAAAGTTAACCCAGAGTTTCTAAATATTGATAGTTTTTGGATTAAAAACCTTAGAGAAAACGTGTAATGCAATAAAACTTAAAAATCTAGATTCACCTTTAATTCCAATATATCTAGAAGAATGGTGGTATACCAATTGACCAAAAAAAAAAAAATGTAATCTGGAAACATTACTGATAGTTGATCCAACAGAAAGAATAGGTTCTCATTTGGATTTTTATGATTTTATGTCAGACGTCTTTATTGGCGAAGACAGTTGAAGAGTTATGTGGAGGGTAAATAGTTAAATATGACAGTTAAATAGTACTTATGATACTCAACTGTGATATGGACTGGAAATCATATATGTTTAGGTACTTGTCCACAATTTGTTTCTAAAGAAGAAAATTTGTTTTGGAATGATGCATTTTAAAATTCTTCCTTTAAAAAAGAAACCAAGTTTGAGTAATATACTTCACTTCTCCAGCTGGATAGTCATTAGGTTTGGGGCAAGATGAATCTGGTAGAAACAATATTTACATATTTAGTAGGTCAAACTGTAACCCTCTCTATCATAGTACTCAGCTACCAGGAGGAACTCTGCCAGTGCTGGGTAACCTGCCAGCGACTGATTTTACACTTACGCAGTTAGGTGGGGATTTCTCGTGAAGGCTCTTTCAGAAGCCTATCCATTTGCAAATTTAGACAGAGCCATCTAACAGTGATAAGTGTCAGCACACTTAGAAATAAGCCTATTCAGTAATTAATAGTTAGCGTCCTATTTGAGTTAGCAGAGTCCAGAACGGAGCTTTGAGAGGCTTGACCACTTGGCTTTCACGAAGGCAGTCAGTCTGTCCATCTGTTTACCTGCCTTTGAGGTGGGCTTTGTTTGGTAGTTAACTAGAATAGTCCAAAGTATCAAACAAATTTAGTAGTTTGTTTGAAAAAGAGAAAATAGGTTTCTATATATGGGCAGGAACAGCAATAAGAAATGTTCAAAAGATAGGTTAGCTGCTCTACGGTTTAGGGTTAAATTCATTTTTTTGTTGTTAAAAGGTGGTTTGACATACACTATCCTTGAAACAGCCCCCCGTTCCCACATATTTGGTGCTAAGGATCTATTAGAAGTAATGGAGTTCCCCAAGAAATGGAGGGAGGTGGGAGCCTGAGGTGTGTGAGAGGGGTTGGGGGTGAGAACATACAGGAAAGTCCTGGTTATAAATTCTTTCGGGATGGAAGAGGGAGTGGCTTCACTAACAGCCCCTCAGGTTTTAAGTTCAGTGGCTTGTAGCCAATACCACTCTTCCATCTAAAAACACACCGTGGGACGGGGGCGCTCCAGCTGCAGTCAGCCACGCCTCTTCCCCCTAACTCACACACTGGAGATGCCAGCTGTCCATTTCAAGGCATGGGTATAACGAGAGGCTTCTGCCTTCAGTCAGACTATGTTTAACTTAAAGATTTAGAATTACAGAAATTTGATCTAGAAGGGGCCTTAGATGAGGAAATTTGAAGCTTAGAAAGCCTAACTTGCCTCCAGTCACACAGCTTAAATTCCCTTACCTGCTGACTCCTAGCTTGGTGCCCTTTCCATAGGAAAATATTGTAACTCTCTCGTGTCATTTGAATGATTTGGTGCCAGAAGACATAGTTTGGTAGATACGGTCCAAAAGAATAGTGGTATAGTGGTTCGGATAGCTGAGCAAACCCCTGGTTTTGGAGAGGACATGGGTAGATTTACTAAGATCTCTTGAACAGGGATAACAGCTTAGATAATAAGTGGGCGGGTTCTACTGAAGAATCTGAGAGCGAGGCGGGGTGGGGGAGGGTTGTAAGAGGTGAGAAACCAACACCTTACAGAGCAGTCTTTCTGAAGCTTCCTGCCAACTTTTATGCTGTGTAGCAAGGCTGTTATAACAAACTTGAATGTCTTTTCCTACTTAAATTCATCTTATTTATGTATCCAGTGCGACGGACAGCATTCGTAACTTTTCAGGAGCCGTCACTAAGACTTAATTGAAAAGACTTTATTTCCTGTAGCCCGTTCAGATCTTGACATTTTCCAACATGCCAACCAAGGTGCACATCACCTAAACCTGTATTTTCTTTGAACTTAGCCCTATTCCTAACAGTTTAGGTGTCTTGTCTCAGCCACCAGTCAGCTTGGTAAGTTTTGGTGTCAATAGCCTGTTGGAACCAGAATATTTTAAACTCTGCTCTTTAAGCATGTAGACAGATTGTTTTAACTTCTCAGTCAAGGACTGCTGTGATATTTAGAATGATAATTCACTTGTGTTCCACTTTTCTCAGGAAATTGTTTGATTTAGCCCAAAACTGAGTAGAGAATTTATTCACAGCTCAAGTTTTCTTGGTTATAAGCATAGTTTTTGAGAAATGTTTTTAGCTTTCTGTTTGATATAAACTTTGTATTTCTGTTAAAAATTTTTTAAAATGTTTTTTAATTTATGAAAAAATGATTATAAGAAACTGTTTACTTGATGATTCCTAATGTGCAATTTAGATAATTTAATGAGGAAACCAAATTTATGAATCTCTGCTCTCTAAATTTTTGTTATAGAGCTAATGAGAAGTTATTTGTATCAAGGAATTATGATTAGCCTAATCTTTGGAGTTTGTAACAGCATTTTGTTTGATTTAGTTAAATATTTATGAAGCTGGCATTTATTTTGTCAAAAATGTCTAAGTGGTTTTTTTTTGTAATTAGTTTTTGTTGCGATGATTCTGCAGGAATGATAATTTCACTTAAATATGTGACCCAAAGAACTTAGTTGAGTAAAATACAAAATTTCCTTGTGTAGTTGTGAAAATAGAGATTTCATACTCTTCTTGACTAAAATATTTGTCTTTGTTTTGGGTCCATGGCCTCTTTATTCTTAAGTACTTTGGCCTTTGTAAACCTTTGCTGTACTGTAGATAAATACATTTATTCCATGAAACTGGAAATTCATTCACACTGGAGCCACTTCTTAAGTACCTGACAGCCACATTTCAAACACTCGTTTTCTTTCTCTTGTTTATAGCAACATGTCCAACCCTTCTAAGACAGCTTCCAGTTTCTTAAATTCTCTTTGAGACCGTTCCACACACTGAAGACCAACCCTAGTCCCATCTCGTGGCTATAATTCAGCGCTGAAGCGGTTATGCTTACTTGATTTCCTGATGCCACGTTCAGAGCCTTTGCTGCAGTAGCTCTTCTGCCTGCAGCAGATTATTTCCAGATGGATCGCAAACTCCATTTAGGCCGTGTTTGCTACAAACTTGTCCTTAATCTGGTCATTCCACTGGACCATGAGTAGACAGCAAAGACAGCTCAGTTCATTTCTTACTAGAAAAATAACTTCTTGACAAAGCATCGTGTTCCTGTACTGTTGTTACCCATGTTCTGATGAAAAACCTCTTCTTATACCATATGTATGAAAATACCTGTCAGTTAAATTAGACTCTCCTTGTGCCATTTAGGATATTATTAGGCAAAGTACATCCCCACAGGATGTTCTGTATTTCTTTCTCAAGACACTTTCCTCTTATTGGATGATACCTGTTTTCCCCTTTGCTTAGGATGAAACTTAAGCAAACATACATGATACAGGCCAGAGCCAATGGTTTATCCTTTCTTTAATGAAATTTAAAAGTAACAGCATTCCTGAACTGACCTGGAGTAGGACAGTTGAGCAAGTTGAGAGTAAAAGTGTGGAACGCTTAGTTATAACTGATTACATCCTTTTTACATCTCACGTTTTAGGCAGTGGAGACAATGTGTTTTTCAACAACTTTTTCTCGAATTGATGTAGATTTTATATTTGCTAAACTTTTTAGATTTAGAAGCATAACCACCAAAACTTTTTGGTCTTTATCTAGTTTCTACTTGACATTGCTCCAACAGTTGCCTTTTCCAGGATTTATGAGGCTCTGCAAAGTTGCCTCAAAAACTTGATTTAAGAGGAAAAAATGGTGAACTTACAACAATAGCCAAATCCATTGTAG